CACCCCCTCCCAGCTTCTTGTGCACCTCCAGCCTTCTCAGTCGGTAGAGCATGGGAAGCTGAAAAGTCCTTGACTAGTGTAAGCACTACCTAGCAACAACTGAAACATCGGTGCGTTATCAACTTTGTTCTGGTCCTAAATCCAAAACACAGCACTGTACCAGCTACTAGGAAGGAAATTAACTCTATCCCTGCTGAAACCAAACAAACACAAAAACCCAAACCCAAACCAAAACCAAACCAAACCAAAACGAACCCCCAAACCAAAACCAAAACCCCCCACAGTTTCTCTGAAACTTCAGACAAACCCTCTCAGGATTTTGCACTGCTAATCTACTATCTTCCTGAATAATCATTTGGTCAAGTCATATCCATACAAAAGTTTATGCTGTGAACAGAGAAATGTTTATAAAACTAAACAAATGCCTTAAGATCAAAGAGAAAGTACTTAACAAAAGTTTTTAATATCTTTATTGCCAAATTGACCCTCCTGTGAAATGTTCCCTTTTAGAAAGGGCTGGAATGTTGAGAATTGCCTCAAGCATGAGGTCAGCTTTATCTCACTCTATTGACACACACAGAGTGACAGACGACTGTCAGCATGACCACTGACCACAAAGTACTACTGTATTGTTAGGCCACCCAGCTACACCATTTTAGTAGCCCTTGGGGCACAGTTCTTGCAATATTCCAGGTATGTTCCAGATATTCTTTTGACAAAGTCAACAAATAAAGCTGAAAATTATACAGCATCCTCCTTCTGAAGAATAATATAAAGATTAAAACCAACTTTACCTCAAAGATTCAGATAACGGCGTTAAAGTGCCATCTCCCCGATCTACCACACGGAAGAAATTCAACTGATCTCCTTCTCGATATACTAAGAAGGTAACTTGTTTGTTGGATGGCCCTTTCTCCCAGATCTCATCTCTACTGGGATCCATGTATTCAGCCATTTCCCTGATAGGGTCTTCCACAGGAACTACAAAGAGAAAAAACAGAATAAAACCATATTATTATTATTACTGTTTTGATCACCTTTGAGAGCTCAGCTCAGTTTACAATGGGAATTCCCAACCTAGAAGATATGCTGAGTGTTTTCCAAGTGAAAATTATCAAGGCGATTTCTCCATTTTAATTCCTTATAGATGATCCACATAACCAAGTTTATCATCAGACTGAACCAATGCCCGATTCTTACTAACCAGATTTTAAAAACTCTATGTATAATGACATTACAGTATCATTTTTTCTGCAGGTGAAGAATTGCTGATTTTAAGACTTGATGGTTCTATACAAACAAAGATACTTGTTAAACTAAGGGTAAACAAAATGAAAAGGATGGTGCACTTGGTATGCTAAAGAAGAAAAGATGGAAGAAAATCCCTCCGTTTTTGTTAAGTATTTTTCCAATTAATTTGGAACTGAAGTCTGCGCATCTAAAATGCTTAGCTAAGAAAACCTGTTTACAGTTATAAGATGTTGTATGAAAACCATTATTTTTTAACTGAGTTAACACTTACCTCTTCTAGTGTTAATAGGTCCACCTCGCATAGCCAGAACTAACTTCAGAGTGCAGCCTTCCGAAATGCTGTAAATAACAATAAATAAATTTTTGTATTTGCTTATGCTAACAATAATTTAGAAACATTCATTGCAATTTTATTCTATACTTACTTATAATCATTCAAACAATAGTCATCCTTCAGCTCCGTATTATTCCAAATTAAGTGCTGCTGAGAGACAGGAATACCTAAACAAAACAAACAAACAAACAAAAGAGTATTGGTGGGAGGGCTTTTGGGGAGTTTTGCTTTTGAAGAATGTGGGGGTAACGGAGGAGAGGCGAGAAAGAGGATCACAGGCAAAGAAGAAAGGAAGCAGGACAAGGACAGGCACTTGAGCAGCCTTCAGTCATGATATCCAGCCTCCCAAATAGTTATTAAGAACAAAGTTAAGGTTTTCAGCAGGCTTGTGCTCACACTCGGAGTTCAATCTTTTGGCTCAATAAGGGGTCTGCAGAAGTATTCAGTGGCTTCAGGCTTATTGAATACTTACTCTCTTCCAGTCATCAGATGAGGGAGGTTTTTTTCCCTGTTACCTGTACCTCAGAGCTTTACGTCTACTGACAGAAAAAACAGGATAAAACTTCTAACTACAGAACTGCTAAATAATTTAAGCACAGACTGATATTCTGTATTACTCGCAGTAAAGACAAGGTTGCATTAAGGTAACTGGTGACAGCTCTATTACAGTGGTGACAACTGTTGTTTTTATCACTGCTTATTTTGGAACCTGAAAGTTCACATGTACAATATAGTACCGTAGCAGTTAGTCAAACTTCGTACTACAAACACTTTTATTTTGTTGTGGGTGTTCTTTTAGGCCATCAGAACATTTTATTACTTATATCCAGTAACACTCATTTTCAACTCAAGTTCTGGGACAGATTTGGCTAACTATTTTTTGTTAAAAGGAAGCAAGCATACTGAATATTTATTCCTTATTAAAAATCCGTATTCTACACAACGATTAACTTTGTTTCTTTTTGCCTGCATAGTCAAGTCATTTAGATGCAGATGTAATACGCATTAAAGATAATAAGCATAAGCTGGTAGAACCTGAGGTCTTCACACATTTTTACTAGAATGCTACCACTGTCCAAATTTTGGATAGAGTACAAACCAGGATAGTTATAAAAGGATGAGACATCTCAGATCACCAAAAAAAAAAAAAATTAAGGCTAATAGGAAGATGAATAGTTGTCTCTTTTGCCTTAAAAAAAAAAAATCTTCCCTTCAGCATCAAAAAGTACTGTTGTTCAATTTGTCTAGTGAAATCCAGGTAATTAAGATCTCACTGTGCACTCCTAACAAATTGTAATTAAAATGAAAATCTATAGAGCCCAAGAACTACTTTTTCAAAAAGGTCTAAACACTACTCTTCAGACTAAGAAACAAAAGCTATAAATACATTTTCCAAAAGGTTGGAAAGACAAGTAACCTTATCTTATACTTTTATTCACTGCATGTTCAGATACTTGAAAAGGAGATGCAAGTAGCAACGCTACACAGGAAGACTTCCCAAAATACATCTGGCAAGAGGAGAACACAAAGATCAGAGTCTTCCCGGTAGTTTCCAAAAACATCTCGGCTTCCCAAGGCTTGCAAGAGTGCTTAGCAAGCTGTGGAAAAAGGTCAGTTAAGTTGCCTGTTCCTAGCTGGAAGAAGGGCACAAAGCTACCAACACCCATCACCAGCAAGGAAGAAAAGGGGGCCAGATTCTGGTGAAAGTCCAAGCAGATTCAACTGGCAAGTAGGAGACATGCTAAGTGGACATCCCCATGCAGAAGAGGGAAGTGCACTTTGGAGGACTTTTAGAGAAGACAACAATTTCCTTTTCTCACCACAGCTCACATCTAGATCTTCTCTTTTATGAACGACCAACACAACTTTACTTCACTTGGATGGCATTTAACATGAGTCTTGTATCCTCTGAAGTCCACAAGACATTTATGAGGGGAATATGTTCATATAGTAGACTAACATAATTGCTACTACCCTGCCAGCTATTTAATAACTGGTTATTGGTTACGTTTCAAGTCCGCAGCATAAGCAAAACAAGAACAAGCTGGCAACTGCCAGCGAGTCTACAGTGAAGTCCTTTTCTGTGTTGTTTTGCAGTCTTCTGATTACAAACAGTCATTACTGTCTGCATTTGTTATGGTTTCAGCAGCCTCCAAGGAGCAATTTCCAATTACTTTGATAAACTGAGAGAGTATTTGTTAAAAAGGCTGGCTTGCAGCTGGCAGTGCTGCAGTGAAACGTGTTTTTCTTCATTTAACAGTGACAATGTATTTTTGATGAAATGAACAGATGAAAAGACTATACTCTGCTGTAATGGGAAACAGACAAGTCTATTACTAATTCCCTTTTATGCTGCTTTCTAAGAATTCTATATTTATACACAGAGGAAATGGTATGTGCTTTATAGGTTCAGGTGCAGGAAAATATGCATCAGCTGTCCCTTTTCTGGATTATAATAAGGCTTTCTTGAGGAGACATTTGCACATGAGATCAGCATGCAAAATTGGCAACAATAATGAGAACTGCAAGATACCCATCCACTATCCCCTCTCCCTAAGCAGCATGTTACTGTATCACTGGCCTGCTCTAAATCGGTATCGAGAAGAGAGGAAAGTAGGGCAATAAGCTAAATCTCAACACTCAAATGGAAGTGGACTAGCCAGGCGATGCTACAGGAGGACAGAAGAGTCTGCAGACTGCCTATTGAAATGGCTGCAGATGTGCTGACAATCTGACCTACTAAAATGGGGGGAGGAGAGAAGTAGGTACTCTATCCTGTCTCTGAATCAGCGTATCAGATACACCCTTAAGCTTCACTCCTTTACTCTTTCTTCTGGCATGCTATGTATGCTCACTAGAGAAACTGATGTGGTCAAGTCTGACCCAGAAAAAACCTCCTGTAGATTTCAGAACAAACTTGATTTTATGTTGTAGGTAGAAGGTTACTATGTTCAAAAATACCACAAACATTTCAAAGTCAAAGTTCAAACAGCGTACTTATCTTTCATCCAATATTGAAATTGCTGGAGAGTTTCTTAAACATTTACTTTTTGTTCCTGCTTACAGAGAGGCTGGGCTGACAGTCTTATTTTCCCCCACAAACTAGCTACACTAGGGAAGAGGTGCAAAGGTTCACAGCTTACAGCAGCAGGACCGTTTTCATAACTGTCAAACCCCCCAGCTTTCATCTGCAGGATAGTAAGCTTCGTTAGTGTAAACAGTGGTCAGTACTGACCTACTCTTTATCCTAGCGACTGACAAAGAGGAGACTGTAGCAACAGCGAGTCACCAGTAACCGAATGCAGGCCCACAAAATTTCCTGACCGAGGTGACCTTATTTACACCTTCCAGATGCTGCTCTAACCGTCTGATCTGGGCACAGGCTTGCATTTGCAGAAATATTTTCCCAGCTCAGACAAGGCATAAGCTTAAAAAAAGCTTCATGAACTTCATCAAAGTCTTTGCCAGCACAGTAAACAGGCAAATGACAAAGCAAACAGGAGACATAGAGGAAAAGTAGCAGACAGAAGAAAAGCAAGATTGGTTCTGTTAAAAACTCTTTACACTTGTGTAATCCACTTACTCCAGTCCTGACAGAAGCATAGGTATTTTCTTTAATGCAAGTAGTAATAAGTATCGTTATGACATACTCTGCATTCACAGAATATTGAAAGAAATACAACATCCAGAAGAAGTCTGCTTGATATTCATCCAGTTCCTTTCACTTAAGGTGAAGCTGCTGTACGTAGGCAGCAAAATGACAACAGCAAAAAGACCAAAGCAAAATAACAACTCTCATGATGAACTGAGAGTACACACATGTACAGCAAAAAAATTATTCTTGCATCTGTCATTCGCTGCAACACAAGCACTCCAAATTAAGATGTACTCTGAAAGCTAGTTGTTTTTCCCCTTTACAATAATACAAGAACAAGAGAATACCTAAATTTTCATCTAAAAAGGCAGATGTTTCACATACGCAAATCATAAAATTCAGTTGCAAGCAGTCACTGAGCAAACCATGACTGAGTTGGGTTTTTTTCTCATTTTAAAGCAAGCTACGTAAATGAAGGCCTTAACACTCCATACTGTAGAATGCAAATTAATTCCCACAAGTTAATAATAATAATACCAACACCAAATCCCAAACCCCACCTCCTCCCTTGAGCCGCAATCCTATCTTACTGAGCAAACATGTTTACAGGTATTATCTATGGTTCTTTAACAGATGAAAGAATTAACCACTATAGGAATACTCTATCTGAATGTTCCTTCTATAAAATTCAATATTATAATTGGTGTTTCCAAATGAACAATACTAAACTTTGTCCAGCCCAGCAGCTACCAAGACTTTTGCAATGGAGGAAGTAAGAAGAGATCTTACCAGATTTATTTAAAAAAAAAAAAAAGCTATTTCCTTTTTCAATGAAATCCTGCTATTTTTAAGTACCATTCATGTGTTAAAGCTCAGTCTTTCATGTCACCTTGATACTCAGGTACCATCCTAACCATGTCCATCAACACATGATCCTGCTTTCAAATACAAATAATCATCAACAAGTAAAACCCATGGAGTAGTCAGCACTGCTGGCAACACTATGCTATGCTGCTGGCTGTGTGTATTCTAGCTTTTATGCCACCAGTAGAGACAAAGGGAGCTATTACTTCTCCAGTGTACCATTTTAAAGGGCTCATTCAGTGAATCTGAGACTAGGAGCAATTTATCCTAGGTGGCTCCAAAGGTCAACATTATAACAAATCTAAATTTCTGGATACCAAGTGCTTACTTCGCATGGAATGTATTTGAGGACAAATCCCTGGACCTGATCCAAACACACATCAGATCATCTTTAACTTCAATTTACAAGTAGACTTGCACTGAAATTTCAGATGCATTAGAACCCATTAATAATTTTTTACCCATATTCTTTACTGACTAAACCCAACTGGAAACAGAAAGCTGGAGCTCTGGAGCTCTATCTTAGTAAGGTACCGATGTCTACTACAGCTGTCTAAACAAACCCTTTCCACATTAGATCATTAAAAAGGCACCAAGAATGACAAACAGTATCAGAAGTATACAAAATTCCTAACATGCCATCCACATTATCCTTTCTTATTACAGTGCAGACAGTCTACAGCTATTGATATTCCAGTTGTTGACAAAGATCAGTTCATCTTGATTCAGTTTTATTATTAGCCTCTTACAATTGGAGGCATTGGTGACATTTGAACAAATATGTTAACTTCTCATACGATTCTAGATTTTGTTCTTGGAGATCTCAGGTCTCAGATCATTTTCCCAAAACTTGTCTTTTTGTGTGCTTACATACCATCATCCTCAACACCCAAATGAGTCCACGGAGAAAATACACATACTAGGGACCCTATATAGTCTCCCAGCAGTGCAGGAGGCATTCTCCAGCCAGAAGTGCAGCTTAAATTAAAGTAGTTCACACCCCACGAGTTTCACTTTTTGTTACTGTATCGTGTCATAACAGCAGCAGAAACAGGAACAGATGTAAGCTTTTTGCTTCCCATGCTAAATCACAACAGCAAAATTACTTTAGGATTTTCACTCCACCTGGGTGATTCATTGCTTGAACTTGTGCGCTATAATAGGAACTTTGCCACTGAAAAGTTATTATTTTTTTACATGCAATAGCAACCCCAAATGCAACATAAAATTAATTTGTCATTGTGTGTCCATCCCCTTCATACATAGCTGATCAATCTGTTTTCACTCTGCATCCCATAAATCATATTAATCAGGACATTACAGATATTTTAACTCTGTTCTGGAGTATCAAGGTATTTCAACTGACTTCCAACAATTCAATGATAATAATTAAGTCTATACAGCAGGCACCTCGGCCATTAATTACCTTATCATTCTATGAACTACAACATGTGAACAAAATTCTGCATAAGCAATATTATAACTTTATTACTGAGCTGTTCTTCTAATAAGAAATTATGATACTTTTGTAAGCTAGGCACACTCAGCCTACAATAATAAGCTGTAGGTATAATTCAATATATCTATTCGCAACCTCCTGTTTTGGACTACAAGAAATTCAAATTCCTCTTCCACACATCTCCCACTGGTCTCTTAGTGCATCCTTAAAACTCACTCCTTCATCTATACTGTCCAGATAGCCCGCCTTCTCCTGTACTCTATTGCCTATGCTCCCTTTTAATTCACTCTTAGTTAGCATTCTATCATATATCTGCTTGCATCTCTCCTACGCCTATATTCAATCATGAAGAAAAAACCTTTCCTTTTCTTGTTTTACCTCTAGCCTCCAGGAGCATCTCAACACGTTCTCTGACTTGTGATTAATTATGGCCCCATCCACAGGAAGCAAAAGCATAACCACGTAGCTGCACTAATGTAGCTACACTGATGTAAACCCTAGTTATCTGCATGGTGGAGCTTCTACTAAGTGACCTTACTAGCAAAAAGTCACCCCTATTGTTGCAATGCTTCTGTGTTTTAAAGACTTGTGCCAGCTACTTTTTCTTACGTCCATTAGCGCAGATTTCTTTAAGAGGAGGAGAGTACCTTAGATTCAAGTCCAAAGCATCATATTACATCTCCCACAGGGTCGGTTCCACACAGACAGAAGCATGAAAAACATGTACAGGTACACTGGGGAAAGACAGGATCCCTTTTCTTAAAATTTGCAACTCCAGTACTCTCAGTTTGTGCAGCTACACAGTTCTTTTAACTCCTCCAAAGCGAGAAAGAAGATGCAATGCTGCAAAGTAGCTAAAGTATGTATATATACGTATTTCAAATCACATTCTTTCACACAGGATCATTCTCATCGTAGAGCGAAAGGGGTGAGAGAGGACTAACCTACATCTTTTCTCCTTCCATGAGGACCAGGACTGGCCTCATAACTCAAAGGAGGTTTTCACTTTGCAAGACATACCAAGTTCATCACTTTTAAGACAAAGTATTGCTCAGCCAGACCTCTACTAGCAAAAGATCACTCACCTAAACAAAATACGAATCAGTAACTTCAAGCTGTCTTTGGGGTTTGCCTGCACTGCAGTTGCTCTTGTGACTGCAGTATCATAAACCATAAACTGCCTAACCTAAGCAGCAACAGCCATAGCACCTAGTTTAAAGTATGCTCAGACAGTTGCAATATAGACATACTGCCAGACTCAAGCTTCTAACCTTGCTAGTTAACAAACAACTTATGTCAGAGAATCCTTTCAACACCAAAAATACTATATCCCATATAATATCAAAACAATTAATGATTTACCATAGATTTTTAAAATTTATTTTAATAATGATATAAAAAAAAGAGCAAAAATACCAATTCCAGTGAAGCCTAAGCTATGAACTGACAGGAAAAGGAAAGAACAGAAAAACAACCCAATTCCAACTGAACCTAAGCCATAAACTGCGCGCCTAGCTTATACATATTACTGAACAAGTCATTTAAATTAACTGGTTTGATTTTAGCAATTATAATTTGTAAGACAAGACTTCCTCTAAAGCAATAAAGCTTACACTGAAATAAGAGAGAACAGTACCTTCCAGTCTTTGAATTTTAGCTTTCACAGAAATAACTGTTTCAAAGGGGGAAACGCGCAGTTCAAAGCATGTTCCTGTGAGCGTTTCAATGAAGAGCTCCATGGTTTCATAAAAAGGAAGCTTGTAGTGAAACGGTCCCATATTATCTTCATTGAAAAAAGGAGGCTCTTTCTTGTTGGCCATTACAAAGGATTTACAGCTTCTTTGTAAGAAGATCTGTCAGGAAACTACATTCCATTTCTAGCCAAGTCAGCTTTGAGGACAGGTGTGGTGCATTGCTGTTCATGTTTGGGATTTTTCACCTATAAAGCAAACAAGCATAGTTCTAACAAGATCTGAACATAGCTGTTAGAAAGAGTTTCAATTTATTCTTGATGAACAATAAAATAGCTATTAAGAAGCAGTAAAATAGTATCTAGGTCGTGCAACAGATAACCGCAAATTATATTAGTGACACCGTAGTTTTGGGACTCTGGTTTCAGTCAGCATTCGAGGTCCTATCTACTACCTTTTTGTTTTGTTTTCACGAGCGACATGACAACCCGACCCGCGATATTAACGCCCAAAGCCTCCCGACGAGGGCTGAGCCCTCAGCGGGGTCAGAGCTGGAAAAAAAAAACTCTAGAAAGACAAAGAAAC